TCTCCATGTTGCCCAGACTGGTCTCACACTACTGGGATAAAATGATCCTCCCACATCAGCTTCCCAAAGTCCTGGAATTATAAGTATGAGGCACCATGACTAGCCTTCTGTTGTTTATAAGCCACCCAGTTTGTGGTCTTTTGTTATAGCACCCAGACTGGACTAAGACATATTCCAAAGAGGCCCCGGACATGCTGAGCCTGGACTCATGCATTTCATAGGTCATGCATAGAACAAATGACAGGCCTGGCCTCAGATTTGGGGTCTGAAGAAAGAGGAGCTGCTCCTTGTGCCTAGGAGGGATGGGGCCCTGAGGGTAATGGCAGTGAGCATTTACTGAGCACTTACTATGTGCCAAACAGTATTTTCCACCTGCGCTGTGTGGTAGATACTAACCGTGTGGCTATTGAGTACTTGAAATGTGCTCAGGGCTGGGCGTGGTGGCTCATGCCTGTAATCCCATCACTTTGGGAGACTGAGGTGGGTGGATCACCTGAGGTCAGGAGTTCGAGACCAGCCTGGCCAATATGGCGAAACCCCCATGGCTACTAAAAATACAAAAATTAGTTGGCCGTAGTGGTGTATGCCTGTAATTCCAGCTACTTGGGAGACTGAGGCAGGAGAATAGCTTGAACCAGGGAGACGAAGGTTGCAGTGAGCCAAGATCACGCCACTGCACTTTAGCCTGGGTGACAGAGTGAGGCTCCGTCTCAAAAAATATATATATAGATATAGATATAGGTATAGATATAGATATATGCTCAGTGCAACTGAAGAGGTGATTTTTTAATTTAAATTTAAAAACAGATACTCTATTCAGTTATTAGAAAATATTTAAGAAAGGTGGAAACTAACATGGGTATGTGAATGTACTTTTTCAACTATTATATAAATCTTATGAAATCTAAATAAGAAGCAAGTATTTCTTTTTTCTTTTTTTTTTTTTTTTTCGAATCTGTCGCCCAGGCTGGACTGCAGTAGCTCCGCTCACTGCAAGCTCCGCCTCCCCGGTTCACGCCATTGTCCTGCCTAAGTTTCCGGAGTAGCTGAGACTACAGGCGCCCGCCACCACGCCCAGCTAATTTTTTTTTGTATCTTTAGTAGAGACGGGGTTTCACCATGTTAGCCAGGATGGTCTCAATCTCCTGACCTCGTTCCGCCCATCTTGGCCTCCCAAAATGCTGGGATTATAGGTTTGAGCCACCGCGCCCGGCCAAGAAGCAAGTATTTCTGATTAAAATTTAGCATCTGAATTGAGACGCATTGGAAGTATAAAACACACATCAGATTTTGAAGTTTTAGTATGAATAAAAGAATGTTAAATTTCTCATTTTTTGAGGCGGGGTATATATTTTTTGAGGCGGGGGTCTTGCTCTGTCTCCCAGGCTGGAGTGCAATGGTGTGATCATAGCTCACTGCAGCTTCAAACTCCTGGGCTCAAGTGATCCTTCCCCCTCAGCCTCCTGAGTTGCTGGGACCACAGGTGTGCACCATCATGCCATTTTTGGTTATATGTATTGGGTTAAATAAAATATATGATTAAAATTAATGTCACGTTTCTTTTTTACTTTTAAATGTGTGGCTACTAGAAAATTTTAAACACCACATATGGCTTGCGTTATATTTCTATTGAACAGTGCTACGTGATGTGCTGAATATTTTAACGTGCATTATCTCATTTCCTCCTGACAACCCTTTGAAGTAGATACCATCATTATATCACCTTATTACAGAGGATGCTCAGAGAGGTTTAGTAACCTACGCACAGTTACACAGCCTGGTGGTAGCGCCGTGGACCAAGCAGAGGTAATATGATACCAGAGCTGGTGGTCATAGCGGGCTTCACTTTCTCTGGAGGCTGAGGCCTTAACATACTGGGCCTTTTCATGGAATCACACGGTCTCAAAGGCTCTCATAGGCAATCCTTTTGGTAATATTTTTGGAAGATGCTATACATACAGCAATTTTTATAGCTCTGATTTGGCACTTCTGAATGTACTAGAAGCCTCAAAAAGAAAAAAAAGGAAGGCACCAAGTCTGTCTAGGCTTCTGAGAGGCCCTGGGATCACATTAAATAATTTTCCTAGCTGCCTCCACATGCTGTCTTGGATAGGTTTTGGTCAATAGTGCAAGGAGTGATTCAGGACTCAGACAGGACAGGTTTAGTACAATAGAAACATAGTCCGGGCCAGGCACAGTGGCTCATGCCTGTAATCCCAGCACTTTGGAAGGCTGAGTGGGGCAGATCACCTGAGGTCAGGGGTTCGAGACCAGCCTGGCCAACATGGTGAAACCCCATCTCTACTAAAAATACAAAAATTAGCCAAGCATGGTGGTGCATGCCTATAATCCCAGCTACTCAGGAGGCTGAGGCAGGAGAATTGCTTGAATCTGGGAGGCAGAGGTTGCAGTGAACCAAGATCACACCGCTGCACTCTAGCCTGGGTGACAGAGCGAGACTCCAACTAAAAAAAGAAAGAAAGAAAGAAAGAAAAAGGCAAGGCTACCAACCCTCAGGCTGTGCTGTTGCTGTTGATTTACTGTCCACATGAAGGCGGCAAGATGCTGAGGTAGGAGTAGAAGGCTGGAAAGAAGGGAGAGACAGTTGACATTTTCAAAGGCAAAGTTTTCTAAGAGGCTGGCAGGAGGCTGGGAAGGCTCTCACTCTCCCTGAAAGTCCTAACATGTCTGCTTCTCACCCCATGAGAACTTGCTCCTTGGTGCCGGCTTTGCCACTGCGGGAAGCTTAGATGCACTGAGAATGGGACATGGGACAGGGTGCTTGGAGAGCTGGGGCTGCAAGGACATGAGAGAGTTCCGGTTAAGTGGGGGAAGGAGCTGGCTGAGGATGGGAGAGTGACCAAAACCCAGCCCAGGGAAGTGCCCAGTCCCAAGTTCCAGCTTTGCCTGGAGCCACTTTGTGTCTACCTTGGGTTAGCAGGGTGAAGCAGGCTTACTGTGTCAGATAGTCTGGTATTTAATCAAATAATTAGTTAAATATAATTCATGGAAGCCAAGCACAGTAGCTCATGCCTGTAATCGCACTTTGGGAGGTTGAGGCGGATGGATCATTTGAGGTCAGGAGTTCGAGACCAGCCTGGCCAACATGGCAAAACCCCATCTCTACTAAAAAGTACAAAAATTAGCCAGGCATGGTGGCATGCACCTGTTATCACAACTACTTGGGAGGCTGAGGCAGAAGAATTACTTGAACCTGGGAGGCGGAGCTTGCAGTGAGCCGAGATCCCACCACTGTATCATTCCAGCCTGGGTGACAGAGTAAGACTGTCTTAAAAAAAAAAAAAAAAAAAAAATTCATGGAAATAGCAAAATCAGAATTCATGATTATGCAAAGGGCTGGCTTCAAATTTGCAAAAGATGCAGTAGCCTTGACCTAGACTGATATCACAGGTACCAACATCACAGATGTCCCTGCCAAAAGCTTGGGGTGCTTCTACCAATTGGTGCTAATAGAGGAGGCAGAGGACAGATCAAGTCATGAGGATTCATTAGGGTTTTTTACATGTGTTTTCCTGTTATGTTATGTTTGGAAGGCTGAGCACTGGTGTGTCTGGAAGGAAAGAACAATGATGTTATCCTCAAGCAGAAAGTGGAGGCGCTGATGTGATTCTGCCTTACTGCTTTTGGGTGCCTTTACAAGAAACTCCTACAACTAGACTTTGTAGGTAAGTGCCTCTCTCTTTTCCTTCCTTCCTTCCTTCCTTCCTTCCTTTCTTCCTTCCTTCTTTCCTCTTTTTCTTTTCTTTCTTTCTTTCTCTTTCTTTCTTTTACTTTTTTCTTTTTCTTTCTTTCTTCCTTTCTCTCTCTCTCTTTCTTTCTTTCTTTCTTCTTTTTCTTTCTTTCTCTCACTTTCTTTCTTCTCTTTCTTTCTTCTTCTTTTTTTTTTTTTGAGACAGGGTCTCACTCTTGTCTCCTAGGCCAGAGTGCAGTGGCATGAACACAGCTCACTGCAGCCTCATCCGCTGGTGCTCCAGCGATCCTCCCACACTGAGCCTCCTGAGTAGCTGGGACTGTAGCTGGGATTGTGCCCCATCACTCAAGTTAATTTTTTGATTTTTTTTTTTTTTTTTGGTAGAGATAGAGTCTTGCCACGTTGCCCAGGCTGGCCTCAAACTTCTGGGCTCAAGTGATCTTCCCTTCTTGGCCTCCCAAAATGCTGGGATTACAGTCATGAACCACCGTGCCCAGCCAACACCTCTTCTAAAATGTTAAATATCTCTGGGGAAGTTAAAAGACTTGTTGAAGTGGCTCACATGTTAGTATGAAATGGTTTAACCTCACTGTCTTTCTCCTAATACCTCTTGAACACTGAGAATAGAGATATATTCAAGGGGCTGGGGGAAGGAGAGGAGAAGGAAATAGAAGTTGATTATTATAGTTGTTGTTGTTGTTGTTGTTATTAGTTTTGTTTAGAGGGCATACCGCAGTGGGAAAGGCCTTGGTTGAGATATGAATTGGAGTGGTGACAAGAGAGATTTGAATATGAGGATCTTTGAAAGTTAAAGTGCTCTCAAAGGACGGTAGAAGGGTTCTAAAAAAGAGGGGCTTTTTTCCTCTTATTTTCCCAGAAATTCTCTCTGGGACTGGGCACAGTATGTGGGTTCTTTACTATGCTTGGACTATTTTGAAAATAAAACTCAGCTGGGTGCGGTGGCTCATGCCCATAATTCCAGCACTGTGGGAGGCCAGGGCGGGTGGGTCACCTGAGGTTGGGAGTTCGAGACCATAGGCAGTCCTTTGGTAATATTTTTGGAATATTACCAATTCGCCTGGCCAACATGGTGAAACCCTGTCTCTACTGAAAATACAAAAAAATAGCCAGGCGTGGTGATGCATGCCTGTAATCCCAGCGCTTCAGGAGGCTGAGGCAGAAGAATCTCTTGAACCCGGGAGATGGAGGTTGCAGTGAGCCGAGATCAAGCCACTGCATTCCAGCCTGGGCGACAGAGCCAGACTCCATCTCAAAAACAAACAAACAACAAACAAACAAAAAGGAAAGAAAAGAAAGAAAAGAAAAGAAAAGAAAAGAAAACTCCACACATCTGGACAAGCTAGGCAGGGGCTGAGGATAGAAGATGAACCAAAAACACTGTTAGCCCCCTCCTTTCCTAGGATGCCACTCTATCTAGCCTTTGCCCAAGAGGCCTTCATGCCTAATTGTAGCTTTTCGACAGGAAAAGCAGGACAGCTGCTGCTAATTTAATTACATCCAATTTGGGTGGTATTTATTGAGCCTTCTGTGTAAGGCACCTTCTTAACAATGTCCCAGCCCTCCACCACAGTCACCACCCACCTCCCCCCTACGACAAATCTGACTATAGGATTTCCAGGCAGAGAAGAAAACCTCCCACCTCGGGCTTCATCTGTAGGGGCCGCAGTCCAAGCCAGCGGCTTGGACTTTTTGTTTTCTCTGCACTCGGTTCTGATGCTGACACTGCGCAGGTTGTTACAGAACTGCTAGAGATAAGTGTGAGGGCACATGAAGGCATGGGGGGGCATTCTTTCCAAATGGGGGAAGGACAGGAAGCAGACAAAGAAGGGCCTCTGCTGTCCTTAGGATTCTCACTTGTATGTTTCTGTTTCCAGAGCATCAGTGATGGGAAGTGTTTGCTTCTGTCTATCATTGAACTCAAGGCACAAAAAACCAAGGCAAAATAACACTTTTTAAAGGCTCTTGCCCCCAGTTGCATCAGCTCCATCGAGCAGGGTTGTGCAGTGCAAGGCTGGAATGGTTTCCAGGGCCTCTGTGGGGGAGGAGGGGAGAGCTGCCCTCCTCATCTCTGAAAATAGTGCTTTTCCCAAATTGCTTTTTCAAGTTTCCCTCCTTGAAATGTGAAATGACATCCTCCAAGCACACTGTTTGAATCTATGGTGTTATGTGTATGTGGTGGCTTTAACACAGTCTCAGAGGGACTTCTAGGGAGGTGGGGAGGAGAGCCCTGAGGCTGGGGCACCTTGCTTGCTTTTGACGCAAAACCACTCTCCAAAAATGGCTCCAGAGAAAGCAAGCCTTGGGATAGTGAAGAGAGTGGAGAAGCTTAGATTCTTTTTTTAAATGGAAATTATTTATTTCCACTGCAAAGAAGACATTTCCCTCAAAAGGGGGAAAACGGCTTAAAGACACCTCCCCCAGCTCAGCCAGCACTGAGACACAAGCAAAATGCCTGCCTGGCCGGTAAATCATCTTGGGAGGAGAGAGTTTGAATAGAGGGGAAAGCGGAAAAGCAGAAGCCCAGCATAGTGTGAGCTGATTCCAGCAGAGACTGAAAGCAGCAAGGGGCCTGGGCTATGGGATACATAATTGGCTAACGAATAATACAGCCAAAATTGGATATTAACAGCAATTAATTTCTGTAGAGGCATTGGGGAAAAGAGCTGCAGAAAACCCCATTGGGCCTTAAGCCGAAGCAATCTGAAATTAAACCAGTGTCTCAATTAAATGGGAATAAATATTGCCACATCAATCTGTGTAGAGTGGGAGGGGGCTGACAGAGCCCCCTATGCAGCTCAGGGCACCTTCCTTCACGTCGGAAGGTCTCAGTGGCACAGCCTCAGTCGGGCACCACCCGGCCCATGACCTTGAGGCCAGGGCTCCGAAAGTTGTTTCGGTGCACGGCCTGTTGACCCAAAGAGACCTTGTATCACTCACTGCACGCTGATGGACCCAACAGATGAGGAAACGGAAGGAATCGAGTTCTTTAGAAAACAGAGACCGCGTCCTAATGGCAGCAGCGGTTGCATTTGCAAGGAGATTCATGAAGACAGAAAGAGCCTTCTGCGCCTTCCTTCCAACCGACTTCGAGCGGCTCGGTCCCCTCCGGCGTGGGATCTGGAACTAACGCTGACTAAGGCCGACGGAGGAATATGTCTTTTTCCTTGCAGGTTGAAGATTTTTGTGGTGGTTTTGGCTTCTGTGGAGAGGGTTGCGGGGGAGGGGAAGGAGGGTGTTTGGGCGAGGATGGCGAGGACACGTCTCTGGGTCCTGAGGGAAAATGCCTGCTCCCTGGCAGGGTCACTGGGGCTATCCGGGAGAGGAGGCTGAAGGTATGGGCGGGGCGTCCTAATGGGGAGTTCAGGAGGATGTACTGAGACGGACTCAGCAAATAAAACTCCAAACCCCCAAGCGCTTTCGCGGCGGGGTCCTCTCCCAACCTCCCCGCTGTCTGTACCCCTTCCCAGGCTGCACCTGCCAGCTCCTTTTTCTTGCAAGTTCTGAGGCTTTCCGGGGTGCAGGGTGGGGTCCTTAAGGCCGCAGGTACTGAAGTGGATCGGAGAGAGGCCCAGAGGAGGACGAAGGAAGCAGGACTGCGGGCCCCGGGCGCACAGGCTGACCGGCTGCACGGCCGTGAGGATGAGGCGTCTAGGCCCAGGCCTGCGGCTGGGGAGCGCTGCGGGTGGCCAGGGGAGGACGTGACCTCCCGCCCAGGCCTTCGGTCTGGCTCGGCCACCCTTGGAAGCTGAGGATGTACCCTCGCCTCGATTCGTCCCTCTTCCTGCCCCCGACTCCGTAATAATCTCTAACGTTGACCGTCCAGTGTCCATCTGGCGCTAGAGTGAAATCAATGTGCATGGAAAATGGAAAAATGACCTCTCCGGGGACAGTCCCTGGCGTTTGTCGCCCTGAGCTGGGGGCGCCCTGACCTCTTCACCTCCCCCTCGACTTAGAACTTGGGCCTGGGGCTCATCCTAGAAAGAACCTGAGACTAACCCGCGTCTACCCACACCTCGGATGGGTCCAAAGCTTTGGGAACTGCAGGAGGACCCGAATCTCAGGAGTTCCAGGTCTGCATGATTCAGGAGAGAAAGAGAAAGAAAAAAAAAAAATCAAGACTGGGAAATGGGAGCAAAAAAGAAAAGGGAAACCAGCGCCTGCTCATCTTCTCCTTGCTCCATGGAGAAGTCTCTGGTGCATTCCAAGAGAAAGAGAGGAGAATGCCTCGTGCGTGCTGGGAAGCGAGTCACTGAGAAGCCCTGGGCGCGGTCCGGGCCGGCAGGGGCCGAAATGGGGCCCGCGCCTACAGTCGTGGAGCCGCAACTCGACGCAGAACCGCCCTGGCAACATCACACGAAGTTGCAATATGCACTTGCAGCCAAAGTATTGCCTCCTGGACTCCAGGTCTCAGTATTTTGTGTGTGCTTAAGCAACAAATAGGTTGGATTTGAATTTCAAAAGAACCTTCCCAGTGTAATTTTGAGAGAGAAAGCTCTTAGTGATTCTGGAAGTTTGTTTTCTGGGCTTCCCGGCCCCTGACCCAGTCCCTCAGGTCTTGGTAGCGTTTCTATTTTAAGACAAAAGGGAGAAGGATAGGAAATAAAAAGATGAACCTATTGAGAGTTGCTGACACTTTTATTCTGACCTGGAACATTCCTTGCCCTCAATAAGGCCCGATTTTTTTTATTTTTTCTTTTCTTTTTTTTTTTTTTTAAGGCCATCTAAATTTGCTGCAGGAAGATCATTCCAGGCCTTCTACACAGCTCTATAAGGCAAAAAGCCGCACACATTGCCTCCCACAAATTCCGTTTGAAGTCCTTTTTTCTTATATGTCTACATTTGTGATGCAATTAAGTACTGAATACATTTTCTTTTAAAAAAGCTGAAATGAGATTGAGAAAGGCTTGGCAAAACACCCAATGAAAGAATTGTAGATGGGATTTGGGGAAAAAAGTCTTTATTGGGTACCATCATTCTCATTATTGTTATTATTGACATCCTCGTCACTGTGAATCAGCCAGCCCAGCCTCCAACACACATACCACCAGCACAACTCCTCATGTTGACTCATGGGCCCTGAAACCACCCACAGAGTAGATGAGGGATGGGAGGCTCCATCTGTCCTAGGGAGAATGCTTTGCAGCTGCCCCCAAAAGACTCCATTCTAAGGTTGGAATGGGAGGAAGGTATTATGTAAGTTCAAGAGGAGGAAAGAGAAAATGTTTTCCCTGTGGAAGCAGCATAGGTGGATGGACTTTTGGTGGCTAACTGCCTTCCTCTAAATGCTAGCATTGGATATGGTTATGTGGGAAAATGTATGTGTGCATATGGGCACACCCCTCCTCCAAATATCTCTGTGGCAAAAGCTCCTCAAACATTCACAAAAGCTGCCCTCCTCCCTTTGGTAACGGAAGTAACTTACAGGAGTTTACCTTTGCCTCTGTTAGAAGGTCAATCTCTTTTCCGCTTAAGCGGAGATCTGGGCTGTTTCTGGCAGGGGAAAGAAGAATATCACCAATTTTTCCTTTGATACATTTCTAAATCTGGAAGTATCTGGTAGAGTTACCTCAAGAATCATATAAGCTTGCATCACGTTGAGGACTGTGATGGCGGCGGTGCATATGAGCCCATCAGGGCCTTCTTCACATATTCAGTCAGCAAACTGCCTCAACCTCGTCCTACTTTTTCTTAACCATATAACTCCCCTTTCATTTAAGTCATAGACTGTAGCTAGAGGGGCTCAAATAGGTAATAAGAGAGAAGATGTTAAAGAGTTAAACGCCCTCAAAGGGGAGAAATATCCAGGTTTCTTGTAAAATTACTGGTGGCATAAATAGGCCCCAAATACAGAAGGGAAGGGCTGACCTTCACTTGGACACCTTATCTGAGCACAGAAGGGGCCTGGCAATTATACACAGGGCCAAGTGGTCCATTCGTCTCTTTGCCATTTTCGACCATTAAAGCCCTACATAAACATACATTTTGTAATGAGACCCACCCAGTGGACACAGGCAAATGCCCACACCCTTGCACACAGACCTAGTAGACCCAGAACACTCCCACATACATTAAAGCTTTCTGGAACAAGAGTTTACATAAGTAATGAAGTAAAAAATATGCCCCTCCCATCATAGATTATCCACAGCAGAAACCTAGCAGGCGTCAGCCACGGTACCTGCGGTTTAAGCTGTCAGCTTAAAGCATCTGAAAGGGGCATTACGTGGGAAGGCATCCGGAGATTTTACCGGAGGGCACATCCGCGAAGGGTACAGCAACCTCTGAAGGAATTACGGGGAAGCAATTACCAAAAAGAGGCTCGTCAATGTGGACATTTGTGGGGCAAGGGTTTTAGTAATCAGAAGCTTAAACCATGCCTAAAAGAAGCATCCAGCAGCCTTCACAGTGAGCAGAGGGGGCAGAGCAAGGGGCTTTACACCCCAATAAGGCCCAGCACTGACTGCTTTCTTCTTCCCAAACCTGTCCAGAAAGGGCGAAGGGGACACCAGAACTCAGAAAGCTACTAGTTTCAGGGGAGGTATATTTTGAAGGCAATGGCAAATAGACAAGGCTTGCTAAGGCTCAGGGGTGAGAGAAGCTATTTTCCCTTTCTGTCCTGCAGCCAAGCTTGCCTTCTGGGTCTCCAGAGGCAGCCCAGCACCTGCAGTCTGCAAGATGTGCACTGCAGCTTTCTCTCTGCGGGGGCAAGCAGGTTGTGCCACATTCTGCAGACCCAGAGAAGGTTCTGGAAGTATCTAGGTGGGGTGCTACACACTTAACCTCTGCCTGACTCTAAACACTGCCTTAGGAGGGCAAATGAAGAGCCTAAGAGGTAAAAATTACACAAGGATTACATATAGTAGGTACTCAATAAATATTTGGGGGAACTGAGGCCAGGGAGGGGCCCTGATCCAAGGCATCACTGAATACTAATTTGTTTAGCAGGCTAGACTGAGGCTTTGGAGAGGAAAGAAGTCCTCAGTAAGCTTCAGTGGAGACTCTTAGGCCTTGATTACTGTGTCAGGAATCAAATTAATCTCCTAAACATCCCTTATGGCCTTGGCCTTGCAAAGCCAGGCCTCTGCCATGCTCGGGGGAAGGGATGCAGCAGGCTTCCCGGGCAGAAGGATCCAGCTCTTGGCCTCCTTTCTCTGCTCCTCCCTCTACTGCAGGGACCTGCCCCTCCTCCATTTCCTCCACCTGGAAATTAATGAGCTTAGGTCTTGCCCCATCCGCTGCAGCTTGGTGGTTAATACAGAGCTGGAAATGGGATGAGATTGTGGCAGCGCAGTACGAGGGGGGTCTCTAGGACCAGCTGCTGCTCAGGGTCTAGTGATGGGAGGAAGGCCTGATTTGGGAAGCAGGTTCTTCAGGATGAAAAGCTTAACCCTTTCCATTCCCTGACAGCCTCTTTCAAAACAGTCTTTCCTCAGACCCCCACTTGCACACATTCTGTTTTTCCTTCTGTTCACATTTTTAAAGGAACACATGTCTCCCTTGGGTCCATGTAGGTTATTGTGCCTCTCCCTTCCTCTGCAGCTCCTGGATCTCTGCCTGAAACTGCAATAACAGCTACAGGGAGGGCGTGAGATGCTCCTTAGAGCCATGGCCAGGCTTTCAGCTCCCATGGAGCTTGTGAACCCGCTAGGAACTGGCTCCTTCTTGTCCACATAGCCTAGCGACTTCCTTAAGCTTGTCAGGTGCTCTCAGCTCTACAGCAAAGGGTGACAAACAGCTCCCCCTCTCCCTTCCAACCGCCTGCCCTCCTCCCCAAACCTCAAGTAGAACACAATATATCCGCAGTCCAGGCCCTGAGGCAGTCTGCCAGTCTCTGGATGCCAAATTATTATTTTTTTAAGGGCAAATCGAAAAACTCAGCTCAGAACAAAAACACAGTCACGGAGGAAAGTGTCGACCCACATACAATGAGTCCTGAGCCCAGAGAAAAATCTGCACACACAAGCACTCCGCAATGCGCTCCCAAGCGACCCCCTCCCCACGCACACCGCATCTGTGCTGCACAGATCTGCTTCTGTCACAGAACCAGCTTCTGTTTCTCTCCCTGAGTCTGTTTGCATCTCTAAGCCCCTGTCTGTCACAGGCTGCACACCTCCCCACCCCACGGGCTCCGGTGCGGGACAGGCAGCCGGAGGGAGCTCGAGACCCCTCCCCTCGCGCCCGCAGCCGCTGCGCTGAGGTCTGCGGAGGGCGCCTGGTTCGGTCGGTCGCTCCTTCCTTGGCGGGCCCTTGCCGACCCACGGTGCTCAGCCAGCCCCATTCTTGGCATTCACCGCGTGCCTTAATTGTATGGACATTTAAATCAAGGTCCGCTGTGAACACGGAGAGAGAGGCCTTTCTCCTGAGGAAGGAAAGGAGGAAGGAAGGAAGGAAGGAAGGAAGGAAAGGTGAAAGAAAGGAAGGGGGGTGGGTAGAAGATGGAATAAGAAAACCAGGAAAAAGAAATAAAAAGCGGCGCGTGTGCGTGCGCACTGACAGCGGGGAGAGGGATGGGGGTGGGGAGCGCCGGAGGAAGGGACCACAGCATCCTCCCCGCCGCAGCTCCCCCAATCACACAGACAATGAGATAACAGCGACGTCTTCCAAAGGCTCTTTGTTCTCCCCCATCCTTTCGCATCCAGGCTTTTTCCTGCAAAGCGGAGGGGGTGGAGGGATGGGGGTGTGGGTGGAAGTGGGAGACGGAGGGGTGCCTCCCCCGTGTTAATTACCCCGGCTCCCCTCGCCCCTTTCCCCGCGCCTCGCCTCCCCTGCAGCTCCAGACAATGAAAAAACAACATCGACCCCACCTCGCCCCAGCGCAGCAAACCCACCCACCCATGTCGCCCTCTGCTTTGCTCAGGAAACTGAAGGGGGCAAGGACGGGGAAGAAGAGGGCGAGGGACAAGGAGAGCAGCAGGGGCTCGGCAGCGGCAGCCGGGGCAGGGCGCGCGGCCGCCGCCTCTTTACCTCCATCGCTGAGTGCAGGCGCAGCCGGGCCGGGCGTGCCGCAGGGGCGAGCTGCCTCGGTCCGGGGCCGGGACCTGGGGATTCTGCCTTCCGGAACTCGTCTGCTGCAGTCCTCTCGCTTAGGTCCCAAGTGGTGGAGGGGGGAAAAGGGAGAGAGAGAGAGAGAGAGAGAGAGAGAGAGAGAGAGAGAGAGAGAGAGAGAGAGAGAGGAAGAAGAAGAAGAAGAAAAAAAAGAAAAAAAAAACATAAGAGCGAGGCCCATCTGGCCCCTCATCAGCTTTGTCAAGTCTTGCATACGCTAAAATGCTAATGACCTAGATAGCTCATGCAAAATGCAGCAGGGAGGGCGGGAGCGAGGGAGGTGGGAGGGAGGAAGAGAGAGGAGTGCAGGGGGGAGCGAGGGAGGAGAGGCGGAGGGAGGGAGGGAGGGAGAGAGCACCCCTACACTCTCCCCACCCCACCTCCAACTGTCAACGGGCTTTACCAGGTAAAGGGTGGACGTAGATTTAAAAGGTCACTCGTGTATAATGCGGCTGGATCCCTGGGTCAAAAAAAGGGGGTGAGACAGAGGATGAGAGTCCCAAAAGCCAAAAGGACAATAAGACATTATTTTAACTTCCCCCCCTCACCATGCCCTCCTCCACCTCTTCACACTGTTTACACACAAATCCTGTCGCCGCCTCATGCATGTGCACGGACATGTCAATTTCTCATCAATTTCTCAGCGCTCCTATCCACAGACACCCGAATTCTCATTCCCAGCAAAACTCATCCTGTGGACCCGAGGCAGGAGAAGACCCCTTCTCCTCCTCAGTGCTCCTCGGGCTGGCCCATCCCTACTCAACTCCACCTCCACCCTCTACTCCCTTAGCCCTCCAGGCAGCAGCGGGCTCCTTCTCCTTTCTAAGCCTTGAGTCCCCCGTCCCCTTCCCAACCCCCGCATCTTGAGAAGGCAAGGCAGAGTAGCAGGAAAGCCAAGTCAAGTGCACCCTGGTCTCCCACAATTCAGCTACCCCTCCCAGAAAAAAAGAGACCCCAACAACCCCGACCCCTCTCCTACGTCGACACTGTGAAAGCAAGCAACAAGGACAAATAAAATTCAATCCCGAATACCCTCAGCGGTCCGCACGCTGGGCGGACGCCCTTCCGCAGCGGCCACGCGTGTTCCGGGTTCAGCGCTCCTGCGCGTCCCTTCTCGCCGAGCCCAAGGTGCTTTGTGCGGCCACACAAGGTCTTCGGCTTTTTGTTCTCCTTTTTAAGAGACTGGCCGCAGTCCCCAGCGATTCAGCCAGCCCAACCAAAGGCAGTGGATCTACTGAAATGAAAGGGATCGAGATAATATACAGGCAGATGAATGAGGGGTTGATGCCGGAGGTGCGGGAAGCATCCTGGGAGCAGCCGCCCGGGCCAAGCCCGAACTGCTTGCTGCCTTCTCTGGGGAAGGCGCAGGAGGCGAGCCGGCGCTGGTGGTCGCTCCACCTGGCAGGAAGAAATGATAACCATGATAAGGAACGTGATGATGATGATGATGATGATGATGATGATGAGCATCATTTTAAAAAAAAAATCAGTCTTCCTCTTGGTGAACCAGAGCGTAAGTGCCGGAGGGACTGCACTGCTGGCGGCTGCGGACTGGGGAAGGAGAGCGGCGCAGGAGGCAAAGGTTGCGGAGGCAGCACCCTCGGATGAATAATAACACCGCGCCGCGCAAGTTGCGGAGCCGCCTGGAAATCCAACCCTTCGCGTGAACTCGCGTCGAGCGCGGATTGCAGGGGATGAGGAAGAAGGGGGAGGGGTGGGGAGGGTGGAGGAGGGAGGGGGAGGGGTAGAGGGGAAGGCAGAGAGGGACAGAGAGAATTGGGAGCCTTTTAATTTATCCTTACCAAGCCCTAATCTCGTGCGCCGTCCTCTTTGGGTGAGGTCGAGCTCCTTTTTAAAAATTATTATTCCTTTAACGGATTATTCAGGTAAAGGAAGCCACATCTGCTGACTGTTCCGAAAACAAGAGGATTAGGAGCCCGTCCACAGATCCAGGCCCGCAGACCCCCACCCCCTCTGCACCAGCACACGTCATTCTCACTGCCCCCGGGTACCTCCCTCTCCTTCGTGCTCGGGGAGAGTTGTGCCAAGGAAAATGCGGATTTGGGGAAAGTGAGAAGTGGGAGAGCTCGGAAGAGCGGGAAAGCCAAGGCCGGAGGTGGCGATTCGCACCCCCACACTCACACGCGCTTCCGTTTATCCGTTTCTATCCCGGGAGAAGGGGGCGCCTGCCCGAGCCCACGCGCGCCGCCGCATCTGCAGTGGTTGGCGCCCCACGCTCCCTGAACGCCCCCCAGGCGGCACCAGTCCGGGACAGAGTCCGCTCGGCGGCCGCGGGCGTCAAATCGACACCTGACTCCACAGCCCCCTTCCCTCTCCTCTTCTCCTTCCTCCTCCCCGGGGATCCCGGCACCGCCGTGAGTCCACTCCGGGTCTCCACGGCTTAGGCAGACGGAGTGGGGGACTCAGAGGACCCGCGCACCCTCTGCTCCTCGGCCCTGGCGGGAGGCGCGGGGCTGGGGTTTCCGCGGGCCGCAGCGCTGGCTAGGGCTGCCCGGGGCTGCGGCGGATGCGGTTGACATCACTGCGGAGAGCGCGCGGCTGCCGGGCCGCTGCAGAAACCGGAGCGCCGGTGCAGCCTCCCCCACCCCTCCCGGGCTGGCGTCTAGGCAGGACAGCGGAGGGGGCGGGGAGAGGAGTGGGGGGGAGGGGGACGATCGCCCCATCCCCCCGCCCCCCCGCAGTCAAGGTGAATGTGAAGGAGAGCAGGCGCGCGTGCCCGCGCCTGGGAGGCGCGCGCGCCCCGCCCCTCCCGGAGCCCTCCCGCGCGCCGGGGCCAGATGGACTCCCGAGATTAGAGGCGCGGAAGTGCGCTCCACGACGGGCCCACCCGTCCCGCGGACATCAGACCTACTTCGGGGAGACGCCTTTTGTTGTGGTGGCCGTGGCGGTGTTTGTGTCTTTCCGGGAGCACCGGGTGAGCTTGGCCTTGAGGAATGACTCAGAATGAATCCGCCTATAAGAGCCAAACCAAAGACGACCCCCTGCCCCAGCCCCTCAACCATAACCCAACGCCTGCAACCAGAAACCTTCGGACTTTCCAAGGGGTCAGTGCCGCAGCCGCGAAGGGCAGCCCTGACCCGCGCGGTTCACGCACACGCAGGGCCCATCTGCTTCCCCTAGTCCGGCTTTTCTTCTTTGATGACTTAAAAGAGAGAGGGGGAGAGAGAGAGAGAGAGGTCTAAGTGTTTCTTGGGCACTGCTGGATTCAGGGCAACTAGACATGGGGAGAACAAGCCCCACCAGCTAAAAGCAGTCCTCCTGAAACCACACAGCCCGCGAGGGTCGCAGCAGAGGTGCCCACCCAGCTGAGTGGCTGCACGAAGGGTGACCCGGGCGCGGCCCTTCTCGCTTCGAGGTCATTTCGGCTCTTGTCAGTTATTGGGTGTTTGTCCCAGCAGAAGTAGAATGGCGATCTCAAACCCTTTCAGCACTGGCCTTTGCTTCCAACAATGCACCACGATAAGCTTAGAAAAGAAGCAGTTTTTGTAAATTTCAAGAAGCGGAAAGCTTTGGTTTAAACAGAGAGAAAAGGAAAAAAGGGGAAGAGGAGGAGGAGAGGGAAGAGGAGGGGAAGAAGAAAAAAGAAAGAAGAAAAAGAAGAAATAAACCGTCGCTTGCAGTTGGTGTTTGATTTCTGAAGACCATACTGATTGGAAAAAGCCATCATTTGGGCTGTCTTTCAGGGAAAAGCTTACCATTCTGATAACGTTCCCCTCGAACCAAAATACTTTTGTGGTGGAAAAACTACACTGGCAGTGGCTTGGTTCAAGACTCCCACCATTTTGATAAGGGTTTTTAGCTTCAGGACAATTTGTTTCCTATTCACTAAGAATTCCTTTCGCAGATAGTTTCGGAACTCCTTGTATATGGAGGGATGGGGCCCTGACCCCAGTTGGCCTGGACTGAAGGACAGTAGGACACGCTGCTGCTCCCTTTTCCGTAGTTTTTCTTAAAGGCCTGGTTTTGTTTAGATTGAGGACGGTTTCTGGCAGTCCCTCCTCGCCGTTGCTGCAATGCAGGGTATTTGCCGCTCATCTTGCGGCATGGGGGGAGGGGAGGAGAGCATGGTTTTGTAACAGGCTCTGCAGGCCTGAGTGGGAACGCCTTAAATGATGAGGCCCGGGTTAAAAAAGAAAAGAAAAGGAGAGAGAGAGAAAAAAAAAAAAAAAAGCAGCTGATGCTGAATTAATAGTTAGAGCATACCCCTGGGGCTTGCTTCAACCAGGGGGCCAGGAGTCCTTTCCCCTCCCCCAGTCACGGATTTCATATCTGTTTTTAACCAGTCTGATCGGATGCTGGGACATTTGTGATGGCGTCTTAAAACCTAAACCCTTGGGCTTAAGTGTTGTCTATGCTCCTGATCAAACTCACCCCAAATACTAACACGTTAAGAAATTATATTGTAAAACCTCCCCAAATCCGATTGACTGGACTGTTTGGGGCCCATATGGCCGGACAGCTGTGCTGCTCCACGTGAAAAGACACCATGGCCCCTCCGATGGTATAAAGCGAGGGTTCCCCAGAGAGCTCAGACATGACCTAAGTATTAGCTTAGCCTGGGGTGAAGACTGAGTTAAATCTCTCACTTCTTGGAGGTTAAAATAAAGACAATAACAAAAATCAAAAGAGATGCACTTTTGAATTCATTGTATATTGTGTGCCTCCTGCTGGTCCCACCAAAGGAAGGAAGGACAACCCGAGAAATAAACTCTCTGTAGCTTACCACAAGCATGACGTTAGACAAACTGAAGACACAGGAAAGAAATATATTATTTGCCAAGCGTACCATGTGTCAGTGACATTTGTGGTTCCCTGTTCACAGAAGCAGGGTTCTGACCTCAGCCGATGCCTGTGTTAACCATAAAGAACAGCCATCAGAGTGCAATTTCCATGGTGAGAAGATGAAACCGTGCTTTAAAAAGGAAAACCCATTATGAAATGCAGCCGGATTTAATTTTTAATATGATGGCGGATCCTCTAACGCATTCTTTGCTGGTGTTTGCATTCAGGAGTGATTCATTCTGTGGCAGAAATCAAAATAACATTCTGCAGTACTTTTAAATGTGCTTCTCGTTTTTAAAGGTGTCCTGAAATAGAATATTCTATAACCTTTCAGTGGTGGTGGCTGGAGAAGCGGAATACAAAACTCTGTTCCTAGTGAAATGCTCAGTCTAGATAAGACCCAGCTTGTTCTTACTTATCTGTCTGTGCATAGCCCCTTGCAGTCTCTTCAGGCCTTAACAAATGTTTTAAAAATAAGGGAGAGAGAGAAAGAGAGAGAGGAAAACCCTCACAAATCAATCTGGAAAGTGAAATGAGGGGAAAATAGTGGCTAGATGGTTAGATACATAAGCTTTTAGTCCAAGTCACTCAACATTGTTTTGGAAAATTATTTCAGTAGTGAAACTCCCTCATTTGAAACCTTTATATACAGTAGCAGGTACTGACTTGTTTTTTGTGTTCCTTGAATGTCAGTTCACATTTTTGGAAATAGCTACAGAGAGTTCTGCAGTTACTGTGTCCTTAAAAAAACAATTTTGGAGGTATTATTTGCGTGGCATAACTAATGATGGAATCCTGGAGATTATTTGGTGCCCCCCTTACTACTATAAAAGAGTAGAGCAGGGCCCAGAGAGATGGAAAAAGAGCTTCCAGAGACCATGTGGGTGGTTTGTAGCAATTTCAGTGGTGAAGTTAAGAACAAAACCTGGGTCTCTTCATTGCCAGTATGTATTTTTTCCTCATGTATTTGAACATGAAAAGCTTCCTAAAGAATTTGACAAATAAAAGAAATAGTTGACCCTAGTGAGTTCATTTAGTGTTTAGCTTGGGTTGAATTTTGAAATCTGAATTTTTTTCTATTTAAATATCTCTAGTTTTAGCGATATTTCAGGAGCTATTTAGGAAAACACACCCAGCCAAACTCTTGTGACCCTGGAGGGACAGGGCAAGAGCCACACACAC